ATTTGAAAAAAACGAAAATAAAAATAAAACTTCAACATCCTGTATCTTGGAAACGAAGCGTTTCCGGACATTTATTTATTTGGACAATTCATATTAGAATATTGTGAGAAATCACCTCCTGATGTTTGTCAAAGTACTTTTGAATCACCCTGTAGAGACAATATATCCAATTATGAATGAAAAGTCATTTTTGTAGGCATATTTCTGGGAATTTACAACTTTCACATTTTTTCAGATTGTGTGTGAAAGATGGGAATTCCCAGATAGATCCATGAGAAAGCCCTGAGTCGTTTCGTAATCATGTTTTTCTATCATAATTCATGAGAGGGAGATAAATACATTTATTGTCATAAGAAAAAGTTTCTGTTGACAAACGTTTTTGAACTACTTTAAAATTGTATAAAAGTAGTATATAAAATCTTATCTTATCTTATAATTCATAAAATAGGTGGTCATTGTAAAATTCATCCAAATTATAACAGGCTACATCAATTAAATTGTTGCTTAATTTTTTCCTGAAAATAGTCAAAGGTGCAAGTCAGGTGCAAAGTCAGGTGCATAGGAATTTTATTGTACATCTTTATTTTATTGTATATTAATGACTCCTTTACCGTCGTTGTTGTGGGCAGGGGAAGTCTGATCAAGTTAGCTTGGCGTGTATTACAGTGCGGCTTGTTTGTATCGTCAAGAAAAGATATATTTTTGTAAATCAGACTTACTGTTTCAAGGATTAATATAAGAATTATTGTTAGGATCCGTTGTTCAATGAATAATGGTTTGAAGTGTTCTTGGAACTTTGCCCTGCACACACACATCAGACAGCTCGCGTCTGTGAAACAAAAACAGTCTGCAGTATATTTTTGCTGCCTGTATACTGCCCAGAAGGCAATGCGATATCTCATACATGCATCTACAAAGGAAAAGTAAGCAGATCTTGCAAAGGTTCCACCTAGTTCTCTTGAAACTGACTTGATAACAAAACAGTCAGATGTGAGTCATTTAAGTAATATCTAATGTGTATTTATTTACTTGATAAAATCATTCGATATCGCTCATCATGAACAATTCAAGTTTCCTGTAATCTAGAGATTTGTGGTTCCGCTCACGATCTAATGCAGAGTTATCGTCAAAAGAGGCGGGTTGGTTGTCCTTGTTCATCTTTCACTGCCTGAACCACTGTGCATGCTGTTTTTGGTGAGTGCATTGGGTTGGGATGTGGGGGTTGAGCAAACCGGCCATTGGATGTCTGCTTCCACGTAGCCCCGCTGGATACAGGAGTGACAGAATCACTTGTGGTTCTGTTATTCCCTAATTGAATGGCATCCCAACGATGGCCTAATCCTAAGATGTGTGTGTCCGTGCCGAGAGGATGAATGACACTGGGCCTATCAGCTGTCACTACGGAACCTTTGACATACCGGGCGCCCTCTCGTCGTAGCATCGCCTTGTCACGGTAATGCGGAGCTCTGCCGTGATTGACCTTCTTTCCGTAGCTTCTGGTGGGACTTTAATGGACAGAGTGAACTTAAAAATTTCTTCTGACGCTGTGTCTATAGAAAAGATGGATGTCGAGCTCACGACTCCAACTGACCTTCCTGTAAATTTAGTTCAGGAGCTAGAGCTTCTCAACTGTACCTTGAAAAAAAGGTTCGGTTGTGCAGCCAGGAAACGACTGAGTCGTCTCCTCAAGAGCGGGGTACCTTATAAAACCGCCTTGCACCAAATTCTTGAGCGGCGTACGCAGAATCTGTCTCAGGTGGAGGAACAAACCTCCATGTGCAGGTTAGCGAACGTTTGCGCTAAGGTGATGATTCACCGAAACCAGAGGCGAAAAAGCCCTGCACGGATGAATCTAAGGCATCGTCTAGTGAAGCTGACGTGCAAAAATCCTCAGATGGGTAGGTTGTCGTGGGTATCAAGGTGGGAATCTTGCAACCTAACTATTCGACTACCTCCTTCACAGAGCAAATACTTTGTGCCTGCCCCGCTGGGGACCAAATCAGGTCTTTAAAGTTCGGCAGAGCCGTACTCTTACCATCTGACCTGAAAGACCACTCACCATACAAACTAATCGGCTTCGTTGAGAAGCTGGGTTTATTTGGTCGAGTGTGAATAGGTGTGAGTCACAATAAACCCTTGTGAGTTGCGGTGGAGGGTCGAATAGGCCCACTCACTTTGGACCTGACCTAACATACTGTTCCAAAGATAAATAGAGAGATTATTGTAATGTTGTTCAATGAATAATGGTTTGAAGTGTTCTTGGAACTTTGCCCTGCACACACACCAGACAACTCGCGTCTGTAAAACAAAAACAGTCTGCAGTATACTTTTGCTTCCTGCATACTACCCAGAAGGCAATGCGATATCTTATACATGCATCTACAAAGGAAAAGTAAGCAGATCTTGCAAAGGTTCCACCTAGTTCTCTTGAATCTGACTTGATAACAAAACAGTCAGATGTGAATTTTTTAGTCAGCTTGATAATATGATCCTCGAATTCAAGTTTATTATCTATGTGAAGTCCTAATAATTCAGAGGACAATTTTACTTAGAGAATGTTGCTATTTCAACTAAGCTGTGGGAGTTCATATTTGATGTTGTGGAGATGGGTTTTATTGATGTTTAAAGAAATCTTGTTTGAGTCGCACCAGCTCTTTATCTTTTTCAAGGTAGCAGAGGAAGTGAAAAAATAAAAAAAAATAATATTTTATATTCTTTGGTATTACAAAATTGACCAAAACTAGTGGCCATGTCCATGCCTGTGTCCACCATGACCTCCTTGTCTATTTCCATCATGTCCACCATGGCCACCATGCCCACCCTGTCCACCATGTCCACCATGGTCACCATGCCCATCATATCCACCATGTCCACCATGTCCGCCATGTCCACTATGTCCACCATGTCCACCATGTCCACCATGGCTACCATGTCCACCATGACTACCGTCTCCATGACCGTGTCCATCACTCCCCTGATTGCTCCAGTGAGTGACTCCAACGTAGCTCGTGCCTCCCTTTCCTCCGTGTCCATTTTTTCCATGTTTACCGTAATGTGCAGGATGCTGAGCATAACCAGCTCGTTCTACTACAGCCTCGAATCCTTTGTGGGGTCCTGATTTGTACTTGACAATTCTGTGTGTACCATCGGCCTCTTTCAATGTGTAACCCCCAGTGACGTGTTTCCCTTTTCTGTGCTCGTGCTGGGATTTGTGGTCATGGGTGTGGGGGTCGTGGACGCCATACTCGAATTTGTAATGAGCATTGTCCTGTAAATGAAATTATGAGAAATATGAAAAAAAGTTCGACTGGAACATTTCATACACCAGACAAAAGAAATGGAATGTTTATATTCACTACCTGTGACAGAGTTCATGATAAATTGAATGTTTAATGTATAAACAATTAGACAACGGTTTTGCATACAAATTTTTGGTTTTGATGGAAAATGTCAAGTGTGAAATTTGAATAGAAATGGCAGATTAGAAAGCTTCTAGAGGACTCGATACCCACTTTAACCGACTTCCACTCTAGATTCGATATTGATCTAACGCGTGTGCGACTTTCATAGGTCGACTCAAAAAAAAATGTGTTAATGGTAAAGTTGAACTAAATAATTAGTTGACTTCAAGTAATATCTACTATTTAGATCAGCTGTTCCGGAGTTATTGAAAAATGGAATATTAAAAATAGGACAATTTTGAATGGTATACTGTTGGCAAAGGATTTCGAACCAGAGAAAAGTCTCTATAAAACAAAGCTGTTCACTAAAGAAATCAATCAAATCTATCAATTCATGATCTACAAAGCATTTCAGTCCTATTTATTCAAAAATTTACAGTCACTACAGATCTATCCTTTTTTTTAACACTACAGTGTTAAATTATTGTTACAGTGTTAAATTATTGTTAAATTTATTGATTCATTCAGCAACTCTTGAAACTTTAATTCAACTTACATGTCCTCCACCTCCCCCATGATGGCTAGCTACTGCAATCCCAATCACAACCGCAGCAAAGAAGACGATCTGTGGGAAAATTTTTCGTTAGTACCGATAGTTCCGAAGTACCGGTACTAACCGGTAGTACCGAAATATAGATGTTTCTTCAAGAAATGTTCATTGGTCTGTGATATTTTCGACAAAAAAATGATAATAACGAAAACTGGAGACAGCAATATGAATTTGTAGACCTCTCGATTTATATTTCAAAAACTAGTTACGTTCATGGCTTAGCTGGCTTAGCCAAAAACGACTCTCCTCAATAGGAAGACTCAACAGATTGTCTCTGGTCTGTATTCCTGGCCATACTGGCCTGGTAGGCAATGAAGCTGCTGACTCCCTTGCAAAGGAGGGTGCTACAAACAGCTTTATCGGACCAGACCCTGTCATTGGCATCGCTTTGAGCTTTGCCAAACAAATATTGAATACCTGGATGGTAAGAAGATTTATGGACTTCTGACAGAATCTTCCAGGATTGGCTCACTCCAAGGCGTTTATTCACCCTTCGAAGCTTGATTCCAAACAGATGTTGGACTATAGTAGAGATGAACTACGATGTCTAACAGGCCTTCTTACAGATCACTGTCATTTGAATCATCATATGCAGAGACTCGGATTGTCGGAAGACAGTGTGTGTCGCCTCTGTTTGGAAAATGATGAAACAGCAGAGCATATACTTTGTGCCTGCCCCGCTGGGGACCGAATTAGGTTTTTAGAGTTCGGCAGAGCCGTTCTCTTACCATCTGACCTGAAATACCACTCACCATACAAACTAATCAGCTTCGTTAAGAAGCTGTGTTTATTTGGTCGAGTGTGAATAGCTGTGAGCCACAATAAACCCTTGCGGGTTACGGTGGAGGGTCGAATAGATCCACTGACTTTAGAACTAACCTAACCCAACTAACCGGTAATACCAAAATATGTATAGATGCTTCTTCAAAAAATGCTCATTGGTCTGTAATATTTTTGACAAAAAAAATGATGACGAAAACTGGAGAAAGCAATATGAATTTGTAGACCTCTCGATTTATATTTCAAAAAATAGTTACGTTCATGGCTTAGCTGACCTGGAGTAGTTTGAGAGCAAGGAATGTGATGATGAACAAATGAAATGAGTACTTGAGTATAGTGTTCAGTTGTGATTTTGGAATATTGAAAAATTTGTTGAATTCAAATTAAGCACAGGTTCAACATTATTGACAGAGATAATTGATAACCGAATGTTGCAATAGTCTTCAAAAGTTTTGAAAAAATTACAATTCAATTCCAAGTGCTGCTAAAAGCACGTTTCCATTCCACACAAGTTGAGAATTACTTCAACAGTTGTTAATTTCGACATGAAGTGGATGGAATTCCTTACAATTTGTGTCTTAGTTTACCACAGTACGGATCTGAAGCCTCTGTCTTTCTTATTTACATTGAATTCTTTGAGATTGAGAATATCAGTGGTTGTATTTGAAATATTCGCCAAAAACTGGATCTCAAACTCTGAAAGATACTTGATTTCCAATATCTGACTATCACTATTAATACATTATGATATTTTTCAGTCTCTAATTGTTGTTGGAAAATTATTAGTGTATATTGTTGTGAAATCTGTTTTAGTATTTTTTTCGCCCACCACCCAGTCTTTCACAATTATACCTTTGTTTGCTAAAATCTAATTATATTTCTGAACGACACAAAATAACATTTCTGGAGAATCTCGTATCTTATCAATTTCTGTTTATACTCACTGCTTTCATTATCGCCTTGAATAATCTTCTAGATGAACGAAAAGATACTGATACATATTTCGCATAGACTTTCCTTTTATATCCANGGAGAATCTCGTATCTTATCAATTTCTGTTTATACTCACTGCTTTCATTATCGCCTTGAATAATCTTCTAGATGAACGAAAAGATACTGATACATATTTCGCATAGACTTTCCTTTTATATCCATCACTATCTCAGAAAAAATATCAACGGAATCAATTCATGAGTTTTGCAAATCGGTTGCACGCTGATGTTTTGCTTTGTTAGGTAACTGAAATTGATTAGATTGTGATGATAGCAAATATTAGTAATGGTCTGTGCAAATAAGTTCCTAGTTTATATTAGGTACCAGCAAGCCGCCCCAGACTCGCACGGGAGTAGAGCATACGAGGTTTGTTAGAACTTCTAGCCGCGTTGGAAATATCAGCCTATGCAAAAGTGAAGCGATTAATTCTACTTTTTCCCGAAGTAGAATATCTATTCGTCTGATGTGATCCTACAACCTTAAAAATGAATTTTAATAAAAATAAATCTAACCTAAAAAAAACTGTATATTGGTTGTTTCGGAAGTTTTGTATGTTTTTAAGAGTCTACTTTGAACTGTTATATCTCAGCGAATGCTTATTTAATTTACCCGAAATAGGCACCATTTTAATCGGTACACTTTTGCCAACGTAACACAAGTCGAGTAATTTCGTCAACATACAAAATTTGTGATCGAGATTCGATGAAGTCGACGAAAGCCGTCTTTCCTGGTCCTGATTGGCAAATGTTCTATCGGCGAGAAAGTTATCGAAATGATTCAAGAAATGGTGAAATGGTAGTTGTAGAGGAGCACCCGGTATATTAATTTGAAATGTATGTACTTTAAATGTTCTAGAGGAAGAAGAAGAAGAGAAAGTATTTGCCTACCTATCTTTTCATCCACATGGCGCAGTCGGTAGTATTATTTTTAAAAGAAACTAGTGGTTTTTGATCTGTTTGAATCTTGAACCTTTGCCCCTTATACAAATTGATGAAACCTCTCACAACCAAAGGCAACACCAAGCATTTACCAAATTTCTTCACCATTATATTCACAAAGTAATGATATGCTAGAACGCGCTGTGCAAACTTTAAAAAATATTCTTAGAAAAAATAGGTTTTGACTGAAATTGGTTCACCAGCATAACTTTTAATGTCGAGAAGATTATGAAGCATAATTCCTATGGAAAATAGTATGTTAAAACCATGTTTAAAAAACGTAGAAAAAACTAGAAAAAAATCAAATAACCATCAGGAAGTACGAAGGTTCCATTATAATAAAAACCCAAAAAAAGTTAAAAAAGGATACAAAAATGAAGAGTCAGGGTACTAACTCTAGATGGAAACCGGAAGAAGTTATAGATAAAGTAAAACATAGGTCATATAAAGTTAGGTGATTTGTGGTACGTTCGGACGGACGTTGTCATGAAACAGGATCGGACCTCTTCTATTGACCAGAGCCAGCTACTGCTGATGCTATTTTCGGTATATTTCGTCAATTTCCTAACAGTAGGACTCTGGTGTGATGGTTTAGCATGGTTAAGAAAGTTATACTGAATCACACCAGTCGCTGACAGTAACCATGGTCTTTTTTTGGTGAATTTTCGCCTTTGAAAATCGCCTGATTTAGGTATATGTGGTACTGTTTAAGTGTCTGTGCAGGTTGAATCACACACAGCAACTTTTTTGCTGATCCAAAATTGCTGATATCTTGAGGTTCAAGAACGGCAGGAATTTGCACAAAAATTTAGTCATGGTATCTATAATATTCACCATGCACCTGGAGTTTTTAGAAAATCAATTTTCCTAGGTACAAGTCTTCTGATTTTTGTTTACTTTTTCGGCTATATGTTTCTCCAGTTTTTGCGAATACCATTGGTTGGCATTTCTAAAAGTTTTGAAACTGTGAACTATACGAGAAGAACTGATGTTCCTTCTCTAAAAATGATATTTTGGATGAGCCGAGCTATCAATAGAGCACTTTCCTATGTTATAATCATCTATAATTCCCAATACGGACCAGTTCTAGACCATGCCTGAATTAAAGAAAGATCTTCTTTTTAATGACACCATTCATCACACTGCAATCTCTTTTTCAGTCAAAGATGCTAAGATCAAATTGACTTCTCCAGAGAGTCATTATTATCATGACTTTAAAAATGCTAATTACATAGCTATAAATGATTTTTTGGCAACATTCAACTGGAATAGTACTTTCGCATACTTAGATACCAACACAGCAACACAGGAATTTTATAGGATTATTCAACAGGCTATTGTCATATTTGTCCCATTGAAACTTTTCAAACCGTCTAATTTCCCAAAATGGTTCTCATCAGAACTGAAACAGATAATTATAGAGAAAAAGCGAGTTAACAAAAATTACAAGATTTAC